TTGTCCACTGCGGCGCTCGCTCCCGGCGAGTCCTCTATATCCCGGCCGGAGGCCGATTTCTGGGTAAATTTGCCGAAATTCCAGTGACGGTCGCGTTTCGGTGGGCGGCCCCCGGGCCCTGGGTGGGCGCTGTGCGTGTGTCCCAGGGTGTCCCCCGTGCGCTCCCGGTGCCCGTGAGCCGGCGGGGGGCCTGCAGCGACGACTGTGGGTGCGGGGAACAGCCTAGGCCCAGGCACCTCTGACAACGGACCCCCACCTCTGGCAACGGACCCCCACCTCCGCCAACGGACCCCTGCGCCCACACACCTCTGCCAACGGACCCCTACCTCTACCAACGGACCCCAGTGCACGGGCAGGGGTCGGGGCACTGCAGCGGGGCACTACGGGCACTCCCGGCGGCCGGGGCAAACTGCGATCCCCTGTCCGTTTTTACTCGGGAGGAGCCCGATTTCCCGATAGAAATGACAATTTTGTCCACTGCGGCGCTCGCTCCCGGCGAGTCCTCTATATCCCGGCCAGAGGCCGATTTCTGGGTAAATTTGCCGAAATTCCAGTAACGGTCGCGTTTCGGTGGGCGGCCCCCGGGCCCTCGGTGGGCGCTGTGCGTGTGTCCCAGGGTGTCCCCCGTGTGCTCCAGGTGCCCGTGAGCCGGCGGGGGCCCGGCAGCGACGACTGCGGGTGCGGGGAACAGCCTAGGCCCAGGCACCTCTGGCAACGGACCCCCACCTCTGGCAACGGACCCTCACCTCTGGCAACGGACCCCCACCTCCGCCAACGGACCCCTGCGCCCACACACCTCTGCCAACGGACCCCTACCTCTGCCAACGGACCCCAGTGCACAGGTAAGTGTCGGGGCACTGTAGCGGGGCACTACGGGCACTCCCGGCGGCCGGGGCAAACTGCGATCCCCTGTCCGTTTTTACTCGGGAGGAGCCCGATTTCCCGATAGAAATGACAATTTTGTCCACTGCGGCGCTCGCTCCCGGCGAGTCCTCTATATCCCGGCCGGAGGCCGATTTCTGGGTAAATTTGCCGAAATTCCAGTGACGGTCGCGTTTCGGTGGGCGGCCCCCGGGCCCTCGGTGGGCGCTGTGCGTGTGTCCCAGGGTGTCCCCCGTGTGCTCCCGGTGCCCGTGAGCCGGCGGGGTCCCGGCAGCGACGACTGCGGGTGCGGGGAACAGCCTAGGCCCAGGCACCTCTGGCAACGGACCCCCACCTCCGGCAACGGACCCCCCTCGGCTGGGGCATCGGGGGCGGCTGACAGCCCCGGTGAGGTTGCCGCCCACCAATGCTGGTGGGATATCGTTTGTGGGTAGGGGGGTGCACGCGGTGAGGGGGGCAGGGGGCGGCCCCTCTTGTCGTGTGGGGTGGCTACCGGGGGGGAGGAGGGGGTTGCGCGCGGAGGGCCGGAATTTTGTCTGTTACGTAACATGGTGCTTATGGGACAGTGCAGCCGGCAGTCTACATAAAACGCGCCGACACGTATATATGTGGGGGAGTAGGTTCGTGCTGGAACAGGCCACTAGTCGGACTTCATCGACAGGGTTCGTCCCGGGTGAGGCGAGACTTTAACAGCCTGGTGGCGCAACCTATGATCCCACCGGCGGATGGGGAACTCGGATCGGGCTCGAGCGGACACCGCTTTGGGTTCTCATGGACTGGGTTTTGTCCCGTGTGGGGCCGACCTTTAGCAACGAGTGCGATGGCCCTTTCTGTCTGGACCTGCATCCGCCGAACTCCTGGCATCGACTGGCTCCTGAGGCCGTGTGTGGTTTCGTTGTTCCCCGACTTGACCTCCCGGCAGTAGTCTGGCAGCATCTGCATGGTGATAACTCTCGCCCCGTAGAGGATGGACGCTGAGTAGTACGTTGTCCGAAGCGCGCCGCGCGAGTCGCGAGCTGACGTATGGAGAGCATCCTTCCCGGTAAGGTCGCTCGACTTGGTCTCGTAGAGGCCCCGCTCTCTCGAATGAGCCGGCGGTCCGCAAGAAGAAACTTGGTACGGTGTTCGCCGGTGCCGCTCGCCGTCGGGCGGGCGTCACCGGCGACGCGCGAAACTTGGTAAAGATGCACACGGCGGGCGCCGGAGATCCGCCTCGTTCGGAGGCGCTGACTCCCCGGGCCCCGGTGCGGTACCACGAAAGGGAAAAACGAAAGCTATCTGGTTGATCCTGCCAGTAGTCATATGCTTGTCTCAAAGATTAAGCCATGCATGTCTAAGTTCACACTGTTTCACGGTGAAACCGCGAATGGCTCATTAAATCAGTCGAGGTTCCTTAGATGACACGATCCTACTTGGATAACTGTGGCAATTCTAGAGCTAATACATGCTTCGCAAGCTCCGACCCTCGTGGAAAGAGCGCTTTTATTAGTTCAAAACCAATCGTCGTTTCGCCGTTTCGGCGGCGGGCGGCGTCCCAATTGGTGACTCTGGATAACTTTGTGCTGATCGCATGGCCTTTTGTGCCGGCGACGCATCTTTCAAATGTCTGCCCTATCAAATGTCGATGGTACGTGATATGCCTACCATGTTTGTAACGGGTAACGGGGAATCAGGGTTCGATTCCGGAGAGGGAGCATGAGAAACGGCTACCACATCCAAGGAAGGCAGCAGGCGCGCAACTTACCCACTCCCGGCACGGGGAGGTAGTGACGAAAAATAACAATACGGGACTCTTTCGAGGCCCCGTAATTGGAATGAGTACACTTTAAACCCTTTAACGAGGATCTATTGGAGGGCAAGTCTGGTGCCAGCAGCCGCGGTAATTCCAGCTCCAATAGCGTAT